GAGGAGGAGGAGGAGGAGGAGGAGGAGGAGGAGGAGGAGAAGAAGATTGGATTTATAACCCGCCCTTCACTTGGGAGTCTCAGAGCGGCTTACAAAACTCCTTTCCCTTCCCCTCCCCACAACAGACACCCTGTGAGGTGGGTGGGGCTGAGAGAACTCTGACACAAACTGCTCTTTTTCAAGGACAGCTGTGCCAGAGCTTGTGACTGACCCAAGGTCACATCAGCAGGTGCAAGTGGAGGAGTGGGGAATCAAACCCGGTTCTCCCAGATTAGAGTCCGCGCACTTAGCCACTACACCAAACTGGCAAAGGGAGAAGGTGCTGCCGACACACCGGAATCCTTGGCTTCAGGGAATGCTGGGACCACGGTCAAACCACCATCGGCCCACCAGCAATACCTCCCCGGGATGCCACGCCCAGGATCACCTACAGACACATTTGTGTTATTTAAAAACCGTGACGTCTGAATACAAAGCCACCTCCCCCCAAAGCCACAGGTACTAACGATCTGCACTGGGACCAACAGCCAGTTTGCACCCAGCTTGGCTAATTACGAGGCAGACGCAACAGCTTATTCAGAGGCTTGCCTTTCCCGGAGGAGCTGCAGCTGAAACCTGTTTGCTAGTTTCATCAGCTCCGTCAGGAACACATCGTCTTCTCTCAGCTCCAGCTCATCTGTATAGATCCAGCGCAGCATCGCCATGGTTACCTCGGGGTCAGCATCTGGGGAGCAAGTGTCACATACATTACCGAGGGGGGACTATTGTGCTTGGTGACAAGTTTACTTTAGGGGTCACCAACCAGGGAAAACCCTTTGGTCAAATCCAGCCCTTCGGTGAGTGCCTGACCAGCCCCCTAGCCACTCAGATGCAAAATAAGGGTAAGGCAATGGAGTAGCGGCTACACAGAGAGGGTTGTGTTGACAGAGCATTTTACAAGAAGGCTCCAAATATACAAAACCTACAATAATTAATTTTCTGCCGTCCCACCAGTGATTTGACGGAACATGGGAATGTGATACAAGTACTGAATTAAACAGGAAACACTGTTAGCCCCTAACACTGTCATACGTCAATCAAATGCACGTATTCTGGTGGCCCTATCTTCAGAAGTGCAACCAGAGTACTGCCTCACCCGTGTGTCAAGAAACAGGAATGCAGTCTAATGCTAGCCCACTCCTTGGATTCTGACCAAACAGGGGATATGCCAGAGGGCAAGGAAGCGCCATCTCTGATGCTCTCCTTTTGGGGAGGGGGTATTTTGTGTGTGTATGTGTGCACACGCTTGTGAGCCTGGAAGTCATGGTGTTTCAGAGAAGTGGCTTGACATTGCCTGCCCCTGTGTCCCTGCCCTGGTATTTATTTATTTATTTATTACATTTGTATCCTGCCCTCCCCAGTGGGCTCAGGGCGGCTAACAGAGGCAGGTCGTTAGCCTTGTCATAAATAAGAACATATAAAAACATAATAAAATCATCAGTACTAAAAGCACAGTACTCTATCCAATTACTAGTATCCTAGATCCAAGATGGTATCACCGCAGTTCCAGATGGTACTCCCGCAGCGTACATATCCAGTTTCGACGGCTTGTCAGATCTTCTGTATTTTCTAAGTTCTTCCTCAGGCCTCGTCGATGCATCCATTAAGATGTCTTGACGGTGGTGGTATAGTGGGGGGGCGGCTCCTACTCAAAAGCCTGGTGGAAGAGCTCCGTCTTGCAGGCCCTGCGGAACTGCACAAGGTCCCGCAGGGCCCCGATCTCCCCCGGGGAGCTCGTTCCACCAGGTAGGAGCCGCCACCGAAAAAGCCCTGGCCCTGGTCACAGTTAGTTTGGCATCCTTAGGGCCCAGGGTGACCAATAAATTTTGGGGCCCCGACCGTATTCCTTGGAGGTTTCCCTTCCAGGAACTTGCCAGAGTCAGCCCTGCTTCGCTTCCGAGATCTGACAAGATTGGGCTTACCTGGTCTATCCAGGCCAGGGCCATCTCCTGACAAAACACAGACTCACCCAAAAATCTCCCCAGGCCTTCTGGTTTCCACAAAAAAGCCAGCCCTGAGTAGTTACTAGAGCGTCAACTAGGATCTGGGAGATCCTGGCTCGAACCTTGCTTTCAGCTTGCCTCCAAGTTATGGATCTTGGAGACTGAGTGCTTGTCAACCCCCTAAAACAATCTCCAGGGCTTCAAAAAGGAAGCCCTTCCAATTGCTTCCAGATCTCAGGTAGATGGTTCTGCTGTCTAGTTTACTTGTTGGACTAACTTGATTGCAAGCGAATGGACAGTAATTTGGATTGCTTTTAAACTGTGAACAGCTCAAAAACCGACACAGGGAAAAGGTACATAAACTTAGTAAATAAAACTTTCCTCCAATGGGCATTCCCTTAACACAAATATATTGGTTTAATCGGCTACACAATGATATATGTTAATATTGTGCAGCCACACTAAAGCACACTGCGTTTTTAAAGGCCCAGAGAGGCCACTTAACTCTGGTCTCTTTGACTAACGTATCCATGCCAGAGAAACTTCGGTTGTGCACCGACAGGCTCAAGATATGCTTGTTTTGGTAATGTACTGGGGGGGGAAACCACTTGCAGCGGAAGCATGATTACACATCTGTTCTCCGAAACAAGGAAAACGCAAGCCCTCCTGAGTCTTCATGTAGGTGGGGCTGCTCACGGAACTCCGGGACTTGCAAAGGTTGTATTTATAGTTTTTCTGCAGAGTGGCTTCCCGCCCACCTCCTGGGAAGAAGAGCCAGCTGAAGCACTAATATTAAAAGCAGCCATGCAGCCAGAAATGCAAGGGATGCAATACTGATCGTATGGAGCAGACCAACATAAAACAACCCACACACAGGCATCCACTCTGAAGTCAATAAGCAATACGAAGGGCAAGTTGTCACCCTTTTTTTCTGCAGTAGCAACACGTTTCAGCTGCAGTTTCAGAAAGGAAAACCATCCTTAAAATACCGTAGTTTCAGCTCCAGTCCATTCCTTATATCTAATTATCAATCCTGGCAACGTTTGGATTTTTTTTAAAAAAAGAATACAGTGCTTAAACTTCCTGTGGGGCTTACATTTCTGTTCCATTTTTACTGCTAACGATTCAACTGATTTATTACTGTTGATGCTGGGAACTTTTTATATTGCCTCAGTGGCATTTTAATGATTTCTTGCAAGCTGCCTTGCAAGTACAGTTGGGTTTTTAAAAAAAAAAAAGAAAAAAAAAGAAAAAAGCACTAGACTAAATAAAAGCAACATTACTTATCAGAGTGCGCATTCTAGAAGCAGGTGCAGTTTTAAGTTAACATTGAACAATCTTCACCAATCCTCTGCCTATTAAAGCTTTCCTGAGCTCTTCCATCAAGTCACCAACAGCTGAATTTGACAAATTTTACCCACACATTAAAAAAAAATTAGAAAATCTTATCTATTTTTGTTGTTTTAGAATAAAAACCTATTAATTTGTCTTTAACATACCTTGACTCTATTTGTGCTCTTTCCCACCAACTTAAATCTGGTTTTTGTTTTATAACGTCTTCTGTTAACTTTAATTCATTTTTATTATCCAATAAATCTTTGTATTTCAACTTTACATTCTTTTGCATCAGTTCTGGGTTTGTAAACACTTCAAGTGGTGCAACCCATTTTGGTATCTTAGTATAGAAAGATCTTTTCACTTCTTCCCATACTTTCAATAAAGATCTCCTAATAAGATGCTGTTTGAAATATTTATGAGTATCAGCTTTTCCATACCATGTAAACACGTGCCAACCTAAGTAACAGGTCATGTCCCTCTAACATTAATATTCTAGGATTTTCTAATGTAATACATTTTTAACCACGTCAATGCAGCTGCTCTATAGTATAGAAGCCAATTTGGTGGTGCAAATCCAGCTCTTTCTTTTGCATCTTGTAAGGTTTTCAATTTTATTCTTGGAGCTGAACTGTATCTGGTCTCTACTGCTAAATTTCTCAGGTCAAAAAGCTGACTGTTATCTTTAAAACCTTAAGAATTCTCACACCACAAGCTCTCAGATCTGCCTGGATACAGAAATCATGATCACACTATCCAAGGTCCAGCAGGGAGGAACAAGAGAGAGAGAGGTGGAACTCCTTCTCAACAGAGGTCTGTCTCAAACCATCTCAGGTACCATTCGGCCATATGCTAAACATTGTCCTTTTTACAAGGGCCTAGCCCACCTATTTTGCTGACCAATAGGGCTTTATCACCACTGGCCTTCATGATGCTAGCTAATGGCTTTGTTTTACTAGATTACCATGCCTGGGTATTTTTATTTGCTGTAGCCTATTCTGAGGGTCTTTTCTGAACGGAATGGCAAGACGTGTGCGTTCAACTAGCTAACAGCCAACATGTACCCCTGCCTGAAGCACAGTAGATGGCCAGACAGGGCACAGCTCTGGAATTCCCTCCTAAGAGCAGTTTGTCTTGCCTGTCTTCGTTCACATTGCAGAGGCTTAAGATGGACTCCTCCCCCCCCCTTTTTTTTACTGAAGCTTTTGCAAGTTATGCTGCTGTGGCATTCAGTGAGATTCAAATTCAGTTTTTAAACCAACATTGGCAACAGGCTATGGCTTTTAATTCTTAATTTTAGGATGCTGACATGTTGCTGCACTACTGTTATGACAACTTTTATTTTTACTACCCTTTAACCTACCCTGGGATACCATTTAACGGAAGAGCCGGATATAAATGATTTGATGGATAAAGGCATCCATCCTTTTTGGCAGACCCCCTTCTTTCCATTCCAGCTAGTGTTGCTCCACTCTGCCAGGACAACTCCCTTTCAACAAAACCACAAATTCTGCAAAAGCCTCAAGTTTGCTGCAAGATTTGGGGAAGTGTATGCAACTCTGCTGGCGTTCTTATCGCACCACTCACTTTTTAGGAAAGAAAGCTGTACGCTGGCTGGCTTCGGGGAAGAGAAGGTGAGGAGGACCCAATGCCAAATAAATACACTCCAAGTCGCCAAAGAGATACAGCTGCGGTTACAATTGTGCTTTGCATGGAATTGGTATCCAGGCGAATTTGACAGAACAATCCTCAAACAAAGGAATAATCAGGAGGTTACAAGTGGCTTTGTTTTGGGACCGTGACAAGCTCTTGCTCAGTTAAGATGAACAGACCAGCACACTTGGCATCCACATCATTAAAATGAAAGGAGGATGGGCCACTGATTTAACCGCTCTAACACCCAGCTCTCAAAGGCCGCCAGGCTGCCGGCATGTTTCGGAGACAAAAGCTTCATAATTAATGGATCAAGTGCCTCCTCCTGCAGGCGGAGCACCTCCTCCTGAAGGATAATCTGTGACCCTCCTCCCCCCAAAGAGGCCTTTCATCAGCTCTTCCAGAGGCAATGAAAGCATCTTTCTCTCACACACACACACACACACTGCGCCCATCAGAAACCAACCTGACAGATCCAGCTCCTCGGTCGACACCAGGTTGGCCAGACTCCAAGCCTCACTGCGAGCTGCCAATACAAATTTGTGAGCGCTGATATACTTGTCTCCAACCTTTATCTTCAGGTCACTGAAGAGATACAACATACACACACCGGAGCTTAGATGACTGAATGACTCCACAGAACTGTAATTGATTCAGGAGGGGAGAGCCGGAGTTGCTGCTACATAAGCCAGGCAAGCAGAGGCTGTGCAGGAGGGTGGGGGGGGGGGGGGGGGGGGCGTCACAGCATTAGGATCCCCACTATGTTTTTGCACTCCTTATAATTCTGAGGACCACTGAACAAAAGGTGCTCCCGCCCCTCGTTCTTGCAGAGTCCTTTGAAAATGTGATGGAAAGAAATTGCAAACCGAGGCTACAACCCATAAATTAGGCTTCTCGAAGTGGGGGGCTTTTTCCTTGGAATTCCCAAGTCCGTTACACAACCCACCAGTTAAGTGTCACAGAAGAAACACAAACACCCCCTTCCCCTCTGATCTTGAGGTCTCTTACTGGCTATAACAAAGTTTTGCAAATCTATAAAGACTAACATGTTTATTGTGGCATAACCTTTGGTGAGCTGTATGGTCAGATGCATAAAGTGGTAACACAGAGAGGAGTTGTTACAAAGAGAAGTCTGAAGGCCCAGCTCCCCAGGACAAGGTCTGAAACATTATGCTGCAGAGGAAAACAAGATCCACCCAAAACAATAAGTGAGGGATATGCATTGTATACAACCTAAACAGCATGATAAAAAGTAGAGACATCACCCTGCCAACAAACGTCGGCATGGTCAAAGCAATGGTATTTCCAGTAGTCATGTATGGCTGCGAGAGTTGGACTATACGGAAGGCTGAGCACCAAAGAATAGATTCTTTTGAACTATGGTGCTGGAGAAGACTCTTGAGAGTCCCCTGGACTGCAAGAAGATCAAATCAGGCAATCCTAAAAGAAATCAACCCTGACTGTTCCCTGGAAGGTCAGATAATGAAACTGAAGCTCAAATACTTTGGCCACCAAATGAGAAGGGAGCACTCACTGGAGAAGACCCTGATGCTGGGAAAGATTGAAGGTCAAAGAAGACGGGGACGGCAAAGGATGAGATGGTTGGACAGTGTCATAGATGCAACGAACATGAAGTTGAGCAAACTTCAGAGGACGGCGGAAGACAGGAGGGCCTGGCGTGATCTGGTCCACGGGGTCGCGAAAAGTCGGACTCGACTGTGCGACTGAACAACAAATGCATTGTATGCATTTTCAATGCTAACTTGATACTTGCCAGTTCCAGAAAGTTTTGTTTATTGCGTTTTGTCTTGTTTCTTAGCCAAAAATCAGTTCTCAAATCAGCATTTAACCATTTAAAACACAGATCTAAACAATAATAGGGGTTCGGCGAGGCAGCAAAGTTACATCCAGGCGTACACACTGGAAAGGTCCCAGCCACAGCTGCTTCTCCTTCGAGCCTCTTGAACAGCAATGAAGTACATGCAGCCTGAACAGCCTGAACTGGCAAGAGCCCATATTTCTGAGACGGCCCTCTTAAAGCTAAATACATCACTGATCCCTTATTTCACAGTACCCTTGAATACACAGAGCTTTACATCCACTAAGAAGTGCAGTGCAATTGATGTCCCTGTTTCCATTTTAATGACAACCTTTGATAGACCAATTTCACCACGTGTAAAGCCAGTATGGCCTAATAGACAGTGTCAGACTGACTGGGAGAAAGGGGTTCAGAATCCCCACTCAGCCATGATGCCTGCAGTGCTGGGTTGCCTCGGGCCAGTCACATGCTCCCGGCCTCAACTAACTCACAGGTCTGTGGCAGAGTGAAAGAGGAGAGTCTGACCCAGTATGCCACTCTCAAGCTCCTTGGAAAAAGACAGAAGAAGACAAGAAGAAATTGGATTTATATCCCGCCCTTCACTACCCAAAGGAGTCACAGAGCGGCTTACAAACTCCTTTCCCTTTCCCTCCCCACAACAGACACCCTGTGAGGTAGGTGGGGCTGAGAGAGCTCTTTTGAGAACTGCTGGTGAGAAAACAGCTCTAAAGAACTTGTAACTGACCAAGGTCACACCAGCAGCTGCATGTGGAGGAGTGGGCAATCAGACCTGGTTCTCCCAGATTAGAGTCCGCGCTCCTAACCACTACACTATAAGCCCTACCCTTTCCATTAAATATATACTAATCCTGACTAGTGTTAAGAACATTCACGTAGACATTAGTTATCAAAAACAACAAAACCAATAAGGAGAAAAACAGCAGCTGCCAGTGAATTTCAGAGCTGACTAACATAGCTAAGACCCAATGAACAATGAAGAAAGCTGTTGGAAAGAAAGGTGATTCATTTGAAATGTGGTGATAGAGGAGACTTTTACGGATACTGTGGACCAATATTCCCTCTAAGCTGAGCTAGTGTGAGCTAGCTCACAGTTTTTTTAGCTTCCAGCTCACACATTTTTGTTTTAGCTCAGGAAGGATGGCTCCAGAGCAAAATAATTTATGCAGTGGCCAAATCGCTCGCTCGCAACTTTAATGCCAGTCGCTCACAAAGTAGAATTTCTGCTCTCAAGACTCCACAGCTTACAGGGAGCGTTGCCATGGACCACCAAAAAGGCAAATAAGTGGGTTCTAGACCCAATCAGAGATGGTTAGACAGTGTCATAGATGCAACGAACATGAAATTGAGCCAACTTCAGAGGACGGCGGAAGACAGGAAGGCCTGGCGTGATCTGGTCCATGGGGTCGCGAAGAGTCGGACTCGACCGTGCGACTGAACAACAACAAAGACCCAATCAAGTCTGAAGCTAAAATGATCGAACTGAGGCTATCGCATTTTGGTCACATTATGAGAAGACAAGAGTCATTGGAAAAGACAATAATGCTGGGAAAAGTTGGAGGCAGCAGGAAAGGAGGAAGACCCAACATGAGATGGACGGACTCAGCCGAGGAAGCTACGGCCCTCAGTCTGTAAAACCTGAGCAAGGCTGTTAACGACAGGACATTCTGGAGGTCATCAATTCATACGGTCACTATAAGTTGAAAGCGACTTGATGGCACTTAACACACATACACAATAAGATCCAACAGTGTGTGCTGACAACCAATGTTCCCTCTAAGCTGTGGAGTCTTGTGAGCAAAAATTCTACCTTGTGAGCTCCTGGCATTAAAGTTGTGAGCGAGCGATTTGGCTGCTGCATAAACCAGTTTGCTCTGGAGCCATCCCTTCCTGAGCTAAGACAAAAATGTGTGAGCCAGAGGCTAAAACACTGTGAGCTAGCTCACACTAACTCAGCTTAGAGGGAACACTGCTGACAACCCTAATACAGTCCAAGAACTCCAACACACACACCCCTTCAATAAAGCAGGCTTTTAAACTAGAGTGGGAGGCTAAGAAAAGATGATACCACCTGCCCCTACAAAATGAGTAAACAAGACTGGGGGCCGGGGAATGTATCATTCTGCACACCATCCACTATAGCATGCAAATTTGGGGCTGCCTGGCCCAAAATAAAAGAAGCTGCAGAGGCATTCAGAAAGGACAAAGGTGACACTGTAAGCCAGTAACGCACTGTGAACCTACCATCCAGTTACATCACCTTCCCAAAAGAACTGCTGTCAGTTCTTAGCCAGCCTTATTATCAAGAAGATGCAGATTACGGTAGTCTTCATCACGAAAGCAATCTTTCATTTTACTGCATTAGCGCAAAGCCATAGCAAAACAGCAAAAAAGACTCCAAACAGCAAAAAAGACTCCAAACAAGCAAAACAAAAACAATTACAATATCCAGTAAAATGCATAAAATATCCACTAAAAGATTAAAACACAGAATAAGCATTTAAAATATAAACTATGATAGCTAATAGAACTGTAACTTCCTAATTCCTATCCTTACAGTAATAAGGAATGATCCAGTGTAAAACCAATGAACTATTCGTTGACCAAACTTGCAGAGGAATTTGACTACACCATTATAAACAGAGCCATAAACTTTGCCAATTGTGATGTTACCCATTTATCTCTATCTGCAAGTAATATCACCGGTTTGTTCCGGTCCAAACTGCCTGAGCATCATGATAAAATATCCCTAAGGTATCTTTCATGGTCCACTGTAAATCTTGGGCACCAAAGAATCACAGGAGCCAGGTCTTCAATGGACCTATTGTTGCAAGAGCAGATTTGTCCATTAAATGAGGTTCCATTATAACGACTTCTTAACATTGTCAGTTGTAAAGTATCAATTGTAAAGTATCCAGGCATGCCTTAATAAAGGCCTTTCTACACTCAACATTTGATAAAATTTGATAAATTAGTAAAATAAGCCAGGAGGATTAAAGGAAGGGGTGACTGCTTATATAGAGAGGCAGTTCTCTGAGCACCTAGTAATCCAATGTCCATGCGGATATTTATGGCCAACAAACTTTGTTTTATTAAACGGTTAGCTGCACAGAAACCAAACATCCTTAAATATCCTCCGAGAATCCACGTTTAGTCACTGCATTCAGTATATGACTTTGCCATGAATTAGCTTTCATCCCATCATAACCCAGAGGCAGACAAAAAAGAATTTTAAACCAAAAATTAAAAGGAACTTTGTAGACTAGAGTTGATAACTGGGAGCAAAGACAACTCAGATCCAACTGTAACTGATGCTCATGAATTATGGACTGTTAACAACACATGAGCACATTTGTTTTGAATAACTTGCAATGGCTATGAGTTTCCAAACCTCACAAAAGAAGTCTAGATATAATATATACTGAGCCGTTTTTATTGATATTTATTGTATTTATAGTTAAACTGTTTTATATGAATTGTTCGTGCTCTATGTATATTGGTTTTACTGATGTTGTAAGCCGCCCTGAGCCGCCTTGGCGGGAGGGCGGGATAAAATTCGGATAAATAAATAAATAAATAAATAAATAGTAATCAATCCACTCTGTGGGGTGAACACCGAACAACCCACAAAATCTTTTGCAAAGTCACTCTCAAAGTGACGGGGGTAGCTTTGAGACCATGTCTTTATTTATTTTTATTTTTTTTAAAGGAGAAGAGAGGGGAAATTTCGCCTAAATATCAGAGAATTTAAAAAGACTGCCTCTGCATTTAATAGTGCATGTAGTTAAGCGCTAGAACATGATAATGGCCAGGGCACATCTCTGATGTCTAAAAGGTTGCTTGTGCAGACGCACGCACCTGAATTCCAGATGAGTCACAACAGGTCAGATCCGGCAGAAGGAGCGCAGATCATCTCCACTTTCTCCTCCGGCCACCAGTCCATGCTGACCCCAGGGACAGGTTATTCCCAGGGCTGTAGGCCCTTGTGAAACAACAGCCACCTGGGCAAGTGGGTTGCAGTGAGGAGGGGGCAGAGATAGAAATCACTCCCCTTCTTCATCGGCAGAGGCAGGAAAGGCAGTCTCATTTCTGTTGCTAGCGAAAACATTTTGAAGCGGACAGACTATTCATGATGTTTGTCTTCATCTCTGTTTATAAAGAAGTGGCATGCAGGATGTTTCACAGAGTATAACAGGTCCCTGCCCCAAGGGGCTTACAATCTAAAACTTGCCATATGGGAGAAATGGTGTGAAGGGAAGCAGAAAGAGAATATTCATTCTATTTACGCATACTTAGTTTTGGTAGGGTTATGGCAAAGGTTTTAGGGAAAAGGCGGCTTTTGAAGGAATCAAGATGGTACCATACAGCTATTCCGAGAGACAGTTCCAGGCATTAAAAAAAAAGCACCAAGGGAGAAAGACTGAAGTCATTTGAGGGAACAAGGGTCTCTTTTAAAGGGCAAGGATGGTGGAGCTGGAGAACAGAAGTTCCCAGGAATATCATGATATGAGAAAGTCACAGAGGGCTCTGAAGGTCAGGAACAGCGAGTATGCTTCATGTCCGAATAAGGAACAGTGAATATGCTTCTTACCTGTATTGCTCCTGCTCATACAACTCAGCTACAATGGCAAGCAGCCGACTGATGAAGGAGTCACTGGCATTCTCTTTGTTCGACTGAGCGGCCAGGAGGGTACACCTTCTTTCTGTCTCAGTAAGCTTCTTCTGCAGCTTGACATATTCCTGACGGAGAAGCATCAAGTGTTTCTCCAGTTTGGCCACTTCTTCTGCAAAAAAACCAGTCAAAAGACACACAATACGTGAACAGGAAGGGTACTGAGCTTAACGGCCGAATGCATGCTTTGCACGCAGATGGGTCCCAAGTTCAATCCTCAGTATTTGCCATGGAAAGATTTTCGGTAGCAGGTGCCCGGAAAGACCACTCTCTGAGTCCCTAGAGCACCGCTCCCAGTCAATGTGAACAACACTGAGCTAGATGGATCATTGCTTGGTTTCTGCAGAAGGCGACTTCATATGTTCTCAAAGAGGGGAGAGCTCAGCAGGACAATACAGTACAGCCCTCGTCTTCAGAAAGACCCAGGCCCAACTTAGGCATCTCTAGGCAAAAGATTTTATGTAATAAGGTTGGAGAAAAATCCTGTCATTGTTATATTTTGGAGATGCACCCCATCTGTAGATGGATATGATAATCTCCCAGGAATTGGAACTGACCCAGAGAAAATAAATTTTGTTGTGGGACACGTGGGCCCGAGTAGATCTCCTCCTCCCCAAGGTGTAAAAGATGTCCGGGCCTCGCCAGCTGCTTAGTATTTCAGTCACTCAGCTATTATAGCAAGCACCCAGAAGCAACATTAAAGAGGTTTCCCTTCGTATTTTATTGACCTTCGTTTAAAGTCGCTGGCAATGACTGATAGCTTCCATTAAGTACCAGGCAGCAAGATTTGCCAACTAGCAATACACATGGCATAACCTGCGCTCTGATGTATCTTTAGAGCATGCATAAGGACTCCACAAAACTTATGGAAGCAGATGACAGCCATTACAATTTTTAATTGTTTGCACACACAAAAATGGAAATGAAATGACATCATCAAGTAGCCCTGCATTAGCAGAGGGAGCAAAAAGGAAGCTTAAGTCGCTCAATGCAACTTTGCAAGTCTGTTCTGCAGAACTGCCACAGACCACTGACGTCAGCATAATGAAGAGTCCGCAGCTTAGCAGGACAGGACAGAGACTAGCAGTCTGGCCTGTTTCAGAAGTAGGAGACATCTGGCCCTCAGTGAAGAGGCTATGGGCAAACGGGTAGCAGAGCAGCAGAGCAAAAACGAATGGAGCCCTGTTCCGCTGTGCAACAGAGGTTAACCTCTGATCCACTGCCACCGACAAAGCATGAAACATCACCGCCTGAACACCCGCCCCTTCCTAAACCCAAGAAGTTACTACATAAACACAGCATGCCAGACAGGGCAAGTTTATCTAAATCAGGGGTCCTCAATGTGGTGCCCGTGGGAGCCATGGTGCCTGCTGACACCCTTTCTGGCACCCACCAAGTGTATAAAAGGAAATGGGTGGGACCTAGGCATGTAGTATGGTGGGGCATTTCAGGCCATGCCCCACTGCCATTTCGTTGCTGCACCCCATCATGCTGTGTCAAAATTCCAAATGTGCCTGCAGGCTCAAAAAAGTTGGGGACCCCTGATTTAGATATTATATATATATAGAGAGAGAGAGAGAGAAGGGTGAAAAAGTTTCTCTAAAAAGTGACATTTTTTAATTTGAACTTGATCAAACAAGGTCTTTGTTGCTATTATAGTAAAAAAAAAACCAACACCATAGTTTTCCTTCTGTGGGTTGGGCACACATACTTAGTCACATGGATGAAGGAGGAGTATTTGGAGGGTTGTCCTAAGTGTAGAAATGTAGAAAGGGCATTTGTGTTTGATTTCCATTGGCTATGGTGCCATGGGAAGGAAGGGGGGGGGGGGGGGTTTCCCTAGGATTTCATCCTCATGGCAAAGCAAGCGGTATATAACAACTTCCCAATGCTGGAGGTCAAGTGGGGAAAAGAGAACATCAGAAATACTCCCCTCCTCAATTTGCGTCTGAAATCTCCAAGAGGCCTCCAAGATTTCCAGATCGCCCCTGAAGTCATGCCGCTCCTGTTAAGAACCGATGCACTGTGAGAATAGCCCAATCCTTGCAAACTGGCCCACACCAGCAATAACTCTGCATACGGCGTGAAAGACCTCAGAAAGCACTCCATTCAGCTATAGAACAGGTTCAGGCTGTTTAAACAGCAGAGGAAAAACAAACCACTCTCCGTTGTATTTCAAAGCTTTTTAAAAGGGATGTAGGTGTAGGGAAACCATAGCTGGCGGTACCATACTGAGCTCTCCACCAATCACGTTGAACTGCCCCGGAGCCATGAACAAACACACAGGACGGAATGCTGAACATGACCGATAGTCAGTTTCACTCAGGGCACTCCACAGATGCCAGCAGAGCAGTGTAATGACACACTAACCTTGATCTTCAGCACTTGACAGATTGCCTTCACTGGGACACAATGCAGAGTAATTCAACTGAAGGCCGGTCCACTTCGGCTATGCCTACCTGGCAGATCATCCCTGCTATTAAGAACCGAAGCTACATGCATGGTTTGCATTTGTCTGTTCCTCCCAGGCCCTCTGCAACCAATCTTTCCCTTTTCCTGCATGTGCTGAGCCACGTCACTGCAAAGGGCCTCGCTATAAAGTTCAGACGACAGGAAAGTGTATCCTAAAGCAACAAGTAGGTATAACTAATTATTACAAAGAAGAAGGAAGAGGAGGAGAAGGAAGAGATTGGATTTATACCCTGCCCTTCACTACCGAAAGGAGTCTCAGAGCAGCTTACAAACTCCTTCCCCTCCCCAGAACAGACATCCTGTGAGGTAGGTGGGGCTGAGAGAGCTCTTTCAAGGACAGCTCTTGTCAGAACTATGGCTTGCCCAAGGTCATCCAGCAGCTGCAAGTGGAGGAGTGGGGAATCAAACCTGGTTCTCCCAGATTAGAGTCCGCACACTTAACCACTACACCAGACTGACCAGAGGTGTACTCACAGTGTTACTGATAGAGATAAATATTAGTTAATAAGGGCACTAGTTATAAATTCTGCTATTTCTGATCCAAATTGCCAACAAAAAAAGGAAGCACTTTTATAAGAACATAAGAAGAGCCCTGCTGGGTCAGACCAGTGGTCCATCTAGTCCAGCATCCTGTCTCAAACAGTGGCCAACCAGCTCCCCTGGAAGGCCAACAACAGAACAGGGCACAGAGGCCGAGATCTTCCCCTGATGTCCCCTTTGACTCCGGGATTCAGAAGCTTAGTGGTTTTGAATGTGAAGGTTCCCGTCAGTCACCATGGCTAGTAGCCACTGATAAACTTATCTTCCATGAATCTATCTAGCCCCCTTGTAAAGCTTATGGGACAATACAAGTCATTATTTGTGCTTTACCATTAAAAAGGTGAAGGTAAAGGTTCCCTTGCTCGAAAACCAGTCGAGTCCGACTCTAGGGTTGCAGTGCTCATCTCCGTTTCAAAGCCGAAGAGCCAGCGCTGTCCGAAGACATTTCCGTGGTCATGTGGCCGGCATGACTAAACACCGAGGCGCACAGAACGCTGTTACCTTCCCACCGAAGTAGTACCTATTTATCTACTTGCAAGTTCTTGCTTTCGAACTGCTAGGTTGGCAGGAGCTGGAACTAGAGATGGGAGCTCACTCCGTCATGCGGCAACTCGGGTCTCGAACTGCTGAACTACTGACCTTCCACAGCCTGAAGTTCAGCGTCTTAAACCACTTGAGCCACAGCAGCTGCCGCTTTACCATTAGGCTGTCGCCATTATTATAGAAGACCAGAATATAGGCTATCAAACAGTCCGATAATGGGGAGATCCAGAAAAACTCTCTCAAGAATTCTGCACTGGGGGAGAAGAAACAAGTCATTTCTCTGCTGACATCTATCAGCTTGCAGGGTTGGGATATGGTTTCCCATCCGTATTTGCATACTAAGGACAGAAAATGCTCCAGGAGACATAGGATGTGGAAAGCAGCCAAGTATCAGTTAAAGGAGAAAGCGGAGAGTGAAAAATCTGCCTGCTCAAATCCTTCAAAGTTTTTTTTTTTTTTAAATTGGCAGGGGAGATTCATAAGCAGCGGATGGAATTTCCAAATTGTCCCCCCCCCCCTTCACAAAATTCTTCATGTTTGTGTCCTCCTATTCATCAACTTAAGACACATATTTTCAATTTGGCCTTTTCTTGTTGGCTCCCACCTATTTGCTGGCAGGCACAGCATTTTCATGGCTCCCCACCACCTTCACAAATTGTTTTATGCACCCCCAGAGGATTAAGGGCACAGAAAAGCAACCCACTTCTTACTGTCTGAAAAAAATAACTGATCTTCGTGAGGAAATGCAGGGCTATCCTCCCCTCGGGAAGTTTCACAAGTGTTGCACAATCTATTTTTGAAACCATTTAGGTAAAAAAATATATCTTTTTTACTGTGACTACTGTTTGCAATGCTATTTGTTTAAAATGTTTTCTAACCATGGAGCTCCTTCAAGACACAATAAAAGTACTTTTAAATAAATGTTGGTATCATTTGGAGAGAGAAAAAATACGAAATACGACTAATTCCAAATATTATGGAAGGAGGAAGTCTGTATCAACTGTAAACAGGGCATCAGGCTCAGAATGCATTCTGTGCGAGGACGAGAGAGCTTGTATTAGTGCAAGCCAAGACACTTAAGAGGTTTGACTATTCAAGCAACAGTGAAAGATCAAGGACACCATCGCCACAGGAACATTTTACACTGCAATGGAATGCATGTGGACCCAGAAGGCCCCCACCATACTGGGGGCTTGCTCTCAGCCCTTCTAAGCCTCCGCAGAATATCCTGGGAGACTCAACTGGCAGAAAAAGTGATGACTGCGCATTCCAGTGGGGTAGCCTTGATAGTCCATTGTAGCAAATCTAAAGGGGACAGGAGCAGGAATGCAGCTGCTGGTAGCCCAATAGCTATCGGCTCTGTTCGCTGGGGGAGTGTGAAGAGAACAGGACAGCTCTGAGGTTCACAAACACTGTCCGCTAATTTCAGGTTTGGACGGAAAAACTTCTTCCAATCCAATCTCCTCTTCTTCTTATAAAGTTTGGCTGCACGGCCACCCTTGCACAGAATTAAAGGTAAAGGTTCCCAAGCTCGAAAGCCAGTCGAGTCCGACTCTA